GAGAGAATAGGGAAGAGTTAGCACACATTTAACTCAGCAATTTTACAATGACATTAATTCCCCAGGGAGTCATAAAATCCGAATGCCTACTATTGGCTAAGAGGGCTTACGTCGGGCGGTGGGATAAAACTTTTCCGGAATAACTCGAGGAAACCATTTAAATATTCAGGTCAATTGGATTGCCATAGGGGGGATATTTAAAAATTAACAAACAAAACAATCAGAAAGGGGAATCGATTTAATAATTTGTTGAATTGTTTGGCAGAGCAGGAATCGACATACGCACATATCCTGATGCAAGGAATTAGAAAAAAAACGCCTTGTGATAGGCAATATAGACATTATTTTCAAAATCTACGCCTAGTGGTAGGCTATATAAAAAGTATTTCAAAAATCTACGCCTTATGGTAGGCTATATAAAAATAATTATTTAAAAGATATGCGCCTTATGGTAGGCTATATAAAAATTATTTTATAAATGTGCGCCTTATGGTAGGCTATATAAAAATTATTTTAAACATCTACGCCTTGCGGTAGGCTATATAAAAATTATTTAAAAAATCTACGCCTTGTGGTAGGCTATATACAAATTATTTTAAAAATCTACGTCTTGTGGTAGGCTATATAAAAATTGTTTTAACAATCTACACCTTGTGGTGGGCTATATAAAAATTATTTTAAAAATCTACGCCTTGTGGTGGGCTATATAAAAATTATTTTAAAAATCTACGCCTTGTGGTGGGCTATATAAAAATTAGTTTAAAAACCCACGCCTTGTAGTTGGCAACATAAAAACGATTTTAAAAATATACGCCTTAGGGAAGGCTATATAAAAATTCTTTTAAAAATCTGCGCCTTGTGGTAGGCAATATAAAAACGATTTTAAAAATCTGCGCCTTATGGTAGGCTATATAAAAATAATTATTTAAAAAAAAAAAATATTTAAAAGATCTACGCCTTATGGCAACTATATAACAATTATTTGAAAAATGTACGCCTTGTGCTGGGCTATATAAAAATTATTTGAAGAATCTAGGCATTGTGATAGCCTATATAAAAATTATTTGAAGAATCTAGGCATTGTGATAGCCTATATAAAAATTATTTGAAGAATCTAGGCATTGTGATAGCCTATATAAAAATTATTTGAAGAATCTACGCCTTGTGGTAGGCTATATAAAATTAGTTTAAAAATCTACGGCTTGTAGTAGGCTATATAAAAATTATTTTAAAAATCTACGCCTTGTGGTAGGCTATATAAAAATTATTTTAAAAATCTACGCCTTGTGGTAGGCTATATAAAAATTATTTTAAAAATCTAGTATATAAAAATTATTAGGATATATAAAAATTATTTTAAAAATCTGCGCCTTGTGGTAGGCTATATAAAAATTATTTTAAAAATCTACGCCTTTTGGTAGGCTATATAAACAATTATTTTAAATATCTACGCCTTAGGGAAGGCTATATAAAAATTATTTTAAAAATCTACGGCTTAGGGAAGGCTATATAAAATTATTTTAAAAATCTACGCCTTATGGTAGGCTATATAAAAATTATTTTAAAAATCTACGCCTTGTGGTAGGCTATATAAAAATTATTTTAAAAATCTACGCCTTGTGGTGGGCTATATAAAAATTATTTTACAAATCTACGCCTTGTGGCGTATTATTATTTTAAATTATTTTAAAAATCCACCCTTTATAGAAGTCTATAGAAAAATGGTTTACAGTATCTAGACTTCAGTTCCAGAATTAAAATATTTTGTATGGGTTTTTTTGCCCAAAAGTATGCACCACACAAAAAAACACATTCCATCTGATTACAGACTTCACACATATGTAATTGATCAACAACTTCTTCCAACTGCAATTTGTACTTCCTACCTAATTTGTCGTTGGCAAGATACTTGGCAAAAAAATACTGAAGCCACGAACGAACATGCTTTTATTGAATAATTTATATTCCTTTTTAAGGAATATATTAATGGTCATTTGATTTCCTTGTGGAATTATCAAGCCGTCATGTAGTTGGGTTTTCTTTTTTTGTTGAAAGGAATCTTCCAAGTGTGGAAAGTTTTACGTGCCGGAAAGGGTAGGTAAGGAGAGGCAATGGTGTTTCTTTGGTTTTCAATGTCCATTGCAATTTGGTTTTTGTACTTCATTGCATTTCTGACTGACTGAGTGGCTGGCTGGTTGGTTGGTTGGTTGGTCCGCCTGATAGAAGAAGTGTTGAAAAGTGTTTGTCCCGCAATGTTCGGATGGCTGGCAAATTGTTTCTTTACCGCAAAACTTTGTTAGGCGAAGGGAGGGAGGCAGGGGCATATTGAAATTTACTGGAATGTGTGTAACATACACACACATGTTTACAGACATATGTGTGTGTGTGCATTGTAATGGAATAAATTTTGTAGCCAGAATATGTAGTTAGTTTTACTTCGTTTTTTCTTCCTCCTCTCAATTTTTTTCGTTTCGGTTTGTAATGAAATGCAGTCAATATTGCTCAAGTTTCATGTTCAATTCGCTTGCCATTCGTCGTAGTCTTCTTCTACTTGTTTTTCTGCCAGACATGTTGCCACTCAAAAAACCACATGTGTGGAAAGTTTTGTCTATTTATCCCGGAGGCATTTTTGGGGGAGAGGCGCAGGGGAGAGGGTGGTATATAGGAAGGGTATCAATGCTGTTACTACCAACTGTAGTTTTAACTTCATCCTATCCTGTATCCTTTTTTCCGCATATAACCATTTACTTTTGCATCTGCCATTGCTGTGGAACCGAATTGAATGGTGGATTTGAGTTTCAGAGGAAGAACAAAAAAATACTGGACAGCCATCCAAATGCGTATAAGAATTTTCAACTAATCGAATTGACAGCGTAAAAAAATATTCTATGCATTTTTGGTGGGTGTCTCAGTCGTTCGATTTTTTGCTATTATTTTTTTTCTGTGGTTATTGACTTTTATGGGCTATCAAGTAATAGCTTACTTCTCACTTCCATTTTCGCTTCAATGAAGTCCTCCATAATGGCATTTAAGCTTTAAAACATAACAAAAATATTTTATAGGCATTCATATGGCATAGATTTTTTAAATAATTTTTATATAGCCTACCACAAGGCGTAGATTTTTAAAATATTTTTATATAGCCTTCCTTAAGGCGTAGATTTTTAAAATAATTTTTATATAGCCTACCACAAGGCTTAGATTTTAAAAATATTTTTTATATAGCCTACCATAAGGCGTAGATTTTTAAAATAATTTTTATATAGCCTTGCTCAAGGCGTAGATTTTTAAAATAATTTTTATGTAGCCTTCCTTAAGGCGTGGTTTTTTCAAAATAATTTTTATATAGCCTTCCTTGAGCCGTAGATTTTTAAAATAATTTTTATATAGCCTTGCTTAAGTCGTAGATTTTTAAAATAATTTTTATATAGCCTTCCTTAAGGCGTAGATTTTTAAAATAATTTACCTTAAAAAAATAAAAATGTACGTCTTATGATTGACCCTTAAAAATCTACGTCTTATGATTGACCCTTAAAAATATACGCCTTATGCTGGACTAAGGGATGATGGTATAGAGTGTATACCACCTAGCCAAGATGAGGTCATAAAAACAATTAATCGGCTGAAGAATAATAAAGCAGCAGGTGCCGATGGCTTACAAGCCGAACTATTCAAGACTGGTGGTCAGATGCTGGTAAGCAGCATGCACCAGCTGATTAGTACAATTTGGCTAGAAGAATGCATGCCTAATGATTGGAACCTCCGCATCCTGTGTCCTGTGCACAAAAAAGTAGACAAGACGATATGTGCCAACTATAGAGGAATAAGTCTCCTTCCCATTGCATATAAAGTGCTATCCAGTGTGCTGTGTGAACGATTGAAGCCAAAGGTCTATGACATTATTGGACCATACCAATACGGCTTCAGACCTGGCAAATCCACCATTGACCAGATTCTCACCCTGCGCCAAATCCTGGAAAAAAAAACCCACGAAAATCACATCGAAACATACAACCTGTTCGTCGACTATAAAGCCGCATTCGACAGCCCTATCCGTTCAGAGGAAAAGGTCATACGGAAGGCAAAGGTGAACAGAAATGGCACTCTGTACACCAAACAACACATGTTACTAGCCTACGCCGATGACATCGATATAATGGGTCGAACATTGCGAGCGGTAACAGCTACCTTTGAACAAATTGTGAAGGAGTCTGCCAAAGTGGGTATCAACGCCCAAGACATCCAGTAGACTCGGACCAACTGTGGAACTTGAGAACTACAACTTCGAGGTAGTTATAGATTTTATATACCTTGGTACCGCCATAAACAAAAAGAATGACATCAGTTTTGAAATTCGGCATTTACTGTGATGGCCAACAGATGCTACTATGGTCTAAGTAAGTAGTTTAGAAACAAGCCACCTCCCGCCAGACCAAACTCACTCTTTACAAAGCGCTTATACCACCCGTGCTGTTACATGGATCTGAAGCATGGGTACTTGCACAAGCAGATGAGGCGGTGTTTGAAAGAAAAATTCTCCGAAAAATCTACGGGCCGATCTGCGTCGACGGTGAATATCGGCGTCGAATGAACCACGAGCTTTAAAATTGATACGCGGACATCGACATAGTCAGTCGTATTGAGCTGCAGCTACTGCGATGCCATGTTGGGCGAATGAATGAGAATGCCCCAGCTCAAAAGTCATATAAAAGCGAACCTACTGATGGTTCCCGTAGAAGGGGAAGGCCACGAATCAGATGGAAAGATTCGTCTTTCTAATTGGAGGAGATGCACACAAGACCGACGCGCTTGGAAATCTTTTTTAAGTTCGGCTTATGGAAGGACCGTTCTCTACGTAAGTTAGTATGCTGGACTAAAAAATAAAATCTACACCTTATGCTGCACTTTTAATTTTTTTTAATCTTCGACTTATTCAGAGCTTCGTATAAATTATTTGAAAAACCTACATCTTCAAAAATAATGCCTCCTGTAATTAAGACCTAATTATAATTCTCCCGACTCACCTGTACATCAAAATTAGGAGGCTGTTGCTGCAATAGATTTCCTGGTGATTCCATTTGATTGGGACCCTGTTGACCTTGGTGATTCATCATGGGACTCTGTAACCAAAAAAAATCGCAAGTTATTCCACATATTCCGATTAAAAACGTGTTAAAACTTACCTGAGCCATTTGCATACCACCCACACCGTTCATAACCGGTGGCTGTAGCTGATTCATTTGCGGCATTTGATGATGTGGAAATGATGAGTTCATCTGTTGACCCTGACCACCGGGACCACCGGCACCCGTATTGGCGGACGAATTACCGGGATGATCCATACCGGCGGCGCCCAACATATGATTGAATGCATGTGGTGGAAATGCCGGGTGTTGTGAGGGATCGAGTAGTGTTGGTGGACGTGGTAGGGTCTCTTCGGCTGGTGATGGTTGGCGGGAGCCGGGTGTACGACTGTAAAGATGAAGAAAAGATAATTTAAACGTAACGGTTATTAAATTGCCTTAAAGAAAATGTTAAGGGTGATTACAGTATGTCTAACTATAAAGGGAAATGTTAAAAGTACTGTACAATATATTTAATCGATAAGGTTGTTGTCTATAATACATGGAAATATTTTTCTTGTAGCCGAGACATACACCAAAGTGCTATGTTGGCAAAGGGGAATATTTAGCTTTAATATGAAATATGAAAAGGGATATTTTAAAAGTTAGCAGAGATCCAAATCATTTCTGAACTCAGATAACAGAAAAAAAATTAGACAATGTTAAAGTTGTGACAAGTTTTGGGACAAATGTTACAGCACGGTAACAGTATTGGTTCACACAATATATCCCCTAGAAGCATAGCATGTATTTACAAAAATCCTTAAAAAATCTACTCTAAAAAATTAATTAACAAATGTACGCCTTTTGTAGGACTCTAAACAATTTATTTAACAAATCTACGCCTTTTGTAGGAATCTAAAAAAAATATGTAAAAAATCGACGCCATATGCAAGACCCTAAAAATTATGTAAAAAATCTACGCGTTATGTAGGGCTCTAAAAAAATTATTTAAAAATTCTAAGCCTTATGTAGGACCCTAAAAAAATTATTTTAAAAATCTACGCCTTATATAGGACCCTTAACAAAATTATTTTAAAAATCTACGCCTTATGTAGGACCCTAAAAAATTATGTAAAAAATCTACGCCTTATGTAGGGCTCTAAAAAATTATTTAAAACTTCTAAGCCTTATGTAGGACCCTTAAAAAATTATTTTAGAAATCTACGCCTTATGTAGGACCCTAAAAAATTATTTTAAAACTCTACGCCTTATATAGGACCCTAAAAAATTATTTTAAAACTCTACGCCTTATATAGGACCCTAAAAAATTATTTTAAAACTCTACGCCTTATATAGGACCCTTAAAAATTATTTTGAAAATCTACGCCTTATGCAGAGGCTTGAAAAAATTCTACGCCTTATGGTTGGCCTTAAAAAAATTCTTTAAAAAATCTACGCCTTATGGTTGGCCTTAAAAAAATTCTTTAAAAAATCTACGCCTTATGTAGAGGCTTGAAAAAATTCTTTAAAAAATCTACGCCTTATGTAGAGGCTTGAAAAAATTCTTTTAAAAATCTACGCCTTTTGTAGAGCCTTGAAAAAATTATTTAAAAAATCTACGCCTTATGGTTGGCCTTAAAAAAATTCTCTAAAAAATCTACGCCTTATGTAGAGGCTTGAAAAAATTCTTTAAAAAATCTACCCCTTATGTAGAGGCTTGAAAAAATTCTTTAAAAAATCTACGCCTTATGTAGAGGCTTGAAAAAATTCTTTAAAAAATCTACGCCTTATGTAGAGGACCTAAAAAATTATTTAAAAAACTACGCCTTATGTAGGGATCCAAATTTTAATAAATTTACGCCTTACGGCTCTTATCTATGTCCCTAAACAAATTCTTTAAAAAATCTACGCCTTATGTAGGGCTCAAAAAAAGTTATTTTAAAAATCTACGTCTTATGCGGGGCTCTAAAAAAATCTTTTAAAAATTCTACGGCTTATGTAGAGCCTTGAAAAAATTCTTTACAAAATCTACGCTTTAAGTAGGGCTCTAAAAAAATCTTTAAAAACATATACGCTAATAAAAATTATTAATAAAATTACACCTTTTGATTGACTCTGCAATAAACAATATCAGTAATCATTTGATCGCTCGTGTGCCTTATTGTTATTGTTTTTTGTGTTACATCGATTAACTTAACAAGTTTGGCGCTTAAGTCTTTTGTTTTAACTTTCTGCCTGGCTGGTTGGCTTGCTCGCCGTTGTTTTTTTTTTTACTTTGTGGGCTAACTAGCTGTTGGACTATGATAGTTTTTTATTTATTTTTTAACTACAACTTGTTCGAGCTGCAACTAGCTGTGGGTATCGTTGATGTATACACCCATTATAGTCTCCAGCCGTTGTTGTCGTCTCTCCGACTGGTGGCTGCATTGAGTTATTGTTTGCAAATTGACAGACACACAGATGGTTGTTGTTGCTGCTGCTGTTCGAACCCCATTGCAAATTCAGTCAATAGATTTATGGCAATTTAATTGATTGTTGTTGTTAGATTTGTTTTATTGTTTGTATAAATGGTGTGATTATTGAGATGTTGTTGTTGTGATTGTTTTGTTATGGTTGTTGTTGCTATTGATTTGCAGTTTTGTTATTTGATTGTTATTTGTCAAGATTTGATATCAATTAACAGTTGATTAGCTTGTTGCTATTGTCAAACTATATGATGATCTTGTTGGCAGATATAGGTCAGTAAGGTTTTTTTTTGGTCCTTGAAAAAATATTTTTAAAACAGATCGAGGCTTCTGTTCGAAATTTGAAAAAAATTGGACAGCTTTTCTTTTTTAGGGGTAATTTTGTATAGATTTTTTATAACCGTACCATAAAGCGTAGATTTTTTAAAGAATTCTTCTAGAATTCTTCTAGATTTTTCAGAATCCTACATAAGGCGTTGATTTTTGGGAGCCCTACATGAGGCGTAGATTTTTCAGAGCCCTACATAAGGCGTAAATTTTTTAGAGCCCTACTTAAGGCTCAGATTTTCTAGAGCCTACGTAAGGCGAAGATTTTTTAGAGCCCTACATAAGGCGTTGATTTTTTAGAGCCCTACATAAGACGAAGATTTTTTAGAGCCCTACATAAGGCGTAGATTTTTTAGAGCCCTACATAAGGCGTAGATTTTTTAAAGAATTTCTTAGAGCCCTACACAAGTCGTAGATTTTTAAAGGATTTTTTTAAAGACAACCTTAAGGCGTAGATTTTGTAAAGATTTTTTTTAAAGACAACCATAAGGCGTAAATTTTTTATAAAACTCCTAAGATATTTGAATTTTTTTATTTGTCTGCTTTGAAAAATTAAATTTGGGGCCTTCGAAAAAATATTTGTTTTATAATCTTTTTAGAATATTTTGGAATATTAAAAAAATACAAAATTGACTTCTCGGGATTGTTGAAATAATATTATGTTAAACAAGATGCTCGGAATCATTGAAAAAAGTGTTGCTTCGGTATTTCAAAGGTATTGGAAACCTGTGAGCGGAGCAGTATAGTCGGACGGGGCCGACCATATGATACCCTAACACAACTTCGACGAAAATCTAACTTTCTATGGTTCTACATTCAGAGCTTGGGTAATATTTCGCGATATTTGCACCCTCTAGACCGACTAGATGTCAACAAATATTTCTAATATTCAGTACACGAGGGCTGTACTTGTCCAGATTCTCTTTACCGTGAGTTATGTTGTGATGTTGAGCTTTCAATTGTGGCCTGTTGATCGAGTTGAAAAAAAATATGTTTTCGGTCCACTTCATTCCAATATTATTATCTGATCATCACCGAAAATTATAGGCATTGTCCTTGGCCATAACTAGAACCTCATGGAACTTTTCAAAGCGATCAGCGCTATATTTCCGCCCTCTAGTGGGGTAATGGGTTACTAAATAATATCTGAATATATAAGCACCAGTAAATATCTAAGTTTAAGTCCCGCATCCGAGTACATACAAAAATATGATTGGCATCAATTTAAAGGCCAACAACTCCTTTTGGATATACTATCAACTTCTCGGCTCTATGCCCTTCAGGAGTAAATATATACTCTATAGAATACAAATTGTGTAATTTTTCACACAAAAGTCAAGGTCTATTTGAACTGCTAAATATTAACCGATCTTTATCAAAATAGGCATGCTTATTCTTTGGCCCAATACCTTCTCCATGTAAAAATTCGAGATGTTTGGGTCATAATTGCACCATCTGGAGCGATCAGAAAAACCGACAAAAAGTAAATATTTGGTCCATTTCATCCCCTAAATATTAACCGATCTTTACCAAAAACAATAGGGGTCTTCATTGGGCCGAACCTATCCTACATGAAGATTGGTGCATAACTGTGGCCTGTATCGTGTTTACAAATTATAATGGACGGACGGACCCACATGTCTAGATCGACTCAGCTAGTCGAGATATTACGATCGGTATACATAAAGGTGGGTCTTAGACCAATATTTCGCGGCGTTATAAAACCTTGGTGCTGCACAAAGCTATAATACCCTGACAACATAGTTGTGTAGGGTATAAAAACCCACGCTTGATTGGATCTTTATATTTTTTTTTAATTAACGTAACTCAAATTGTCCTCAAATTGTTTTTTTAATCGCCTTTGGGCCCTCCTTTTTGTTATATAAACACAAATGATTCCTTTGCTGTTAGTCCTTTCAAAAATAAAAAAATCCACGACTAGACCTCCGATGTTCCTTAGAAAAATATTCTTTAAAAAATCCACTCCTAGGGAGTTTTTTTAACATATTCATTAAAAATTAAAACCTCGTCATCTGCTGTTTTTTTTAAATATATTCTAACAAAAATTCATGCATAGACCTCCGATGAGCCTTTGAAAAATAAATTCTTCAAAAAATCCACGACTGGGCCTCAGTTAATCCATTGAGAAATATTCTTTAAAATATCAAACCTCTTTCAGCCTCTGTTACTACTTTCAAAATAAATTCTTTAAAGATACACGCTTGGACCTCCTATGGTCCTCTAAAAAATATTCTTTCAAAATCTATGCCTGAAGGACTGTTTGTGCCTTGAAAAAATCCACGGCTGAAGGTCTGTAGGTCCTTTGAAAAAATCTTAAGAATCCACTCCTGAAGGACTGTTGGTCCCTTGCAAAAAACATTAAAAATCCACGCCCGAAGATCTGTATGCCCTTTGAAAAAAAATCTTTTAATAATATTCTTTAAAGAATCCACGCCCGATGATCTGTATGTCCTTTGAAAAACATTCTTTAAAGAATCCACGCCCGATAATCTGTATGTCCTTTGAAAAACATTCTTTAAAAAATCCACGCCTGGAGGACTGATAGTCCTTTCAAAAAATCTTAAAAATCCACACCTGAAGATCTGTAGGTGCT